TAGCAAAAATATATATATTTGATAATATAATATAATTTGACAAAGTAATATAATTTAGCAATATATATTTGGCAAGATAATATAATTTGTCAAAGTAATATAATTTATCAAAGTAATATAATTTGACAAAATCAAAAAATATATATATATTTGATACAAAATAAAAATTATTCATTTTATTGTTGAAATATAAACTTCTTCAAAAAGATATTTAAAAAAAAATGTACCATTATATGCTAAATAAATTATATGTCACAAAATAAAAGTTATATAAATTGGATTAATTAGTTGGATTATATACTTTTATACAAATAATTAACAAGTGACATTATACTGAATAAATTAATTTTGATTAGTGAATCTTTATCCAATAGAAAAAGTTGATAGTAATAACCAATATCTGGAAAAATCACAATATAGTTTAATATTATAACATAGTTTATATATAGCAATATGTACAAATATATGTAAATATTAACCTTAATAAAAGTCTACTAAGCAAGGTCCAGCTAGCATTAACAAACAAAAATATTTAACTTATAGTTTTAATAATAATAATAATAACTTTAATTTGTTTTATAATTAATATATCTATTAATCTATTAATAAATAAAAAATCATTGATAAAATCAAGATTGCTTTAAAAAAAATATAATCAAACTTGATATAAATCCAGACCACAAAAAAATTCGGCCATATTATAGGTACAATATATGAATATTAAAGAAAAATCAAATAAAAAAATTGTTTTTTCAAAATCGGGCATTGTTTTTAATAATATATTTATTTATGTTAATTAATATATAGATAATAAGTAATTTATTTTTTTGTAGAATTTAGCTAAAAGAGCACAAATGACATTCAAAGAGTTAGAGTTTGATTCTTTCATTAATGTTTTATCGGATTTCACAATTATTATTATTGTTTGGTCTTCGATTCAAGCTGAAACAGCATAACTCTATCGTTTCTTTGCCAGAGGCTACACCATTCTTATTTAAGTATATTGTTTATTACGAGATTTTATTTTTTTTATTTGGAATTTCGAGGTACACAATTTAATGCTATTCGACGAACCTATTTTCTTATTTTCTCTGCGCGAGGAAGTGATAAATAAATAAATAAATATATATTGTCGATCCTGCAGTGTCTAATCTTGGTATTTTCTATCTGCGCCAGAGGTTGAACAAAAACTTTGTGTTCCAACTTCCTGCATTTCCAAGTCGAAGGAACCCCGTTTTTTATGTTGCTTCGCCAATTTTAAAGCAGTGTCCGAAGTAAGATCCAATTGCAACTTATGACTAATGTTTTGTCAAAACGAAGTGTAGGATTGATTGGGCGCGGTTACAATGCGATCCAGCCACTTTTTGTGTAAAAAAGTCTTATTATTAATTGAATCTCCATCCAATTGTATGTAATATTTTTTCTTTGCCTATCACAGTTCGAAAAAAAAAAGGGATTCTAAAAAAAAGAAAATGGGGATCAAATCACATTAGACACAACACACATTGATGAATTGATAGAATCAGCCAATATATCAAGTTAAAAAAATTTTTTTGACTGCTATCTGATGCTCTGATCCATTAACCCCAGTTGGGAGCTTAATCAGGATAGTATTTATTAAGGTCGGTCAGGAATTTTAGATTTCCCCTCTTCACCTTTCCCTTCCTGTAACGACTCCTTTACGTATTTTTTGATTTTTTATGCTTATAGTTTTTAAAATGTAAGTATATCTTTGTTTTCGTTTTTTTTTTCCATCCATCCGATGAACATCAAATCCAAAGAGGAGTTTGCTGTGAAATCTGTAGTTTTGTGTTTAGTCAAAAGGAATATCCGATAAAAAAAAAAAAATTTTTTTTTTATCATTTTGTTCTTGTACACTTGCCGCAGCAACTTTTTAAAAAAAAAAAAAGATAAATATTATTGTTTCTGTATTAAACCTAAACATATTCGTACGTTCTTTCTCATCTCCAGCGACCATGGGTAAAGAAAAGACTCACATTAACGTTGTCGTCATTGGTCACGTCGATTCCGGCAAGTCCACTACTACTGGTCATCTTATTTACAAGTGTGGGGTACGTTTACACAAACTTTTTTTGAAAGTTAATGTCTTGTGATGTGTGAATAACCTTCTTGGGAATTACGTTTCTTTTTTTCGTCCTAGGGTATTGACAAACGTACGATAGAAAAATTCGAGTAAGAATCTTAATTCTCTTTTGTAAAATGTTATCGTTATTTTTGATTCATAGATTTAACGATTTATCACGTGCTTGACAACAGAAAAGAAGCCGCAGAACTTGGTAAAGGTTCTTTCAAATATGCCTGGGTTTTGGACAAACTGAAAGCTGAACGTGAACGTGGTATCACTATTGATATCGCCCTCTGGAAATTCGAAACTCCAAAATATTATGTCACTGTCATTGACGCCCCCGGACACCGTGATTTTATTAAGAACATGATTACTGGTACTTCCCAGGTAAATAACTCTTTTCCGGAATGTTAAAAACCTAAAAAACCTGATAAAAATTGGTTAGTCATAATTTTGATATGATCGACTTTTTTTTTTTTCGAAAAAAATTTTTAGGCCGATTGTGCTATCTTGATTATTGCCGCCGGTACTGGTGAATTCGAAGCCGGTATTTCCAAGGATGGTCAAACTCGTGAACATGCTCTCTTAGCCTATACCCTTGGTGTCAAACAACTCATTGTTGCAGTCAACAAGATGGATACTACTCAGTGGTCTGAGGAACGGTTTAACGAAATTGTTAAAGAAGTTTCTGGTTTTATCAAAAAGGTTGGATACAATCCCAAAACAGTTGCATTCGTCCCAATATCGGGCTGGCACGGCGATAACATGTTGGAAGAATCTTCAAATATGCCATGGTTCAAGGGATGGCAGAAAGAAATCAAAGGTGGTTCTGCTAAAGGGAAAACGCTTTTGGAAGCTATCGACTCTATTGAGCCACCAACTAGACCTACCGACAAACCCCTTCGTCTTCCTCTTCAAGATGTTTATAAGATTGGTGGTATTGGTACTGTCCCTGTGGGTCGTGTTGAAACCGGTATTATCAAAGCCGGTATGGTTGTTACCTTTGCTCCAGTCGGTCTCACTACTGAAGTCAAGTCGGTGGAAATGCACCACGAACAATTAGTCGAAGGTGTACCTGGTGACAACGTTGGATTCAACGTTAAGAACGTGTCAGTTAAGGAAATCCGTCGAGGGTTCGTTTGTTCCGATTCCAAGAATGATCCTGCTAAGGAATCAGCATCCTTCAACGCTCAGGTCATTGTCCTCAACCACCCCGGTCAAATTGGTGCCGGATACGCACCAGTGTTGGATTGTCACACCGCTCACATTGCTTGTAAATTCGCAGAATTGCAAGAAAAAATTGATCGTCGTAGCGGTAAAAAACTTGAAGACAATCCCAAATTTGTTAAGTCTGGTGATGCAGCCATTGTTAAAATGATTCCCTCCAAACCAATGTGTGTCGAGGCTTTCTCCGAATACCCTCCGCTAGGTCGTTTTGCCGTGAGAGATATGCGTCAGACCGTCGCCGTAGGAGTCATTAAGGTTAGTAATCAGTGTGATTTAATTTTAATTATAATTTTAATATTTTTTAAACTTTATCCAAAAAACTTACTCTTGATGATCAATTAATAGGGCGTTGAAAAAGTTGACAAGGCAGGAAAGACTACCAAAGCAGCCGTCAAAGCTACAAAGAAATAACGACAAAAGAGCGTGGAAAAACATTCCCATTTTTTTGTCTTATATTCTACGACCACTGCATTGCATTTATATAAACTATACGCTGTAAAATTTTCACAAAAAAAAATCGTAAGGAGTTATTTTTTCTTCCAAATCCCTAATAAAATTCTGGATTCCTGTGCATAAAATACAAAATCATCCTGATTGTTTTTATTAAAAAAAAAATTAAATGGATTAGGTAGTTTTGCAAAGGCTTTTTTTTTTTTTATAGCATTATCGGTAGGAATAATTAGAATCTTGCTTTGTAATAAAAATAAAAAAATTATTAAAGAATCATAAAATTGGGTTTATCTTTGAAATTGGAAATGCTACGATCAATGTCATTCATTTTTTATTTCCTGACGTAGAATCTTCAAAATCACAGGAGTTTGTACATTAGTGTACGTCGATCAGATGGAAGGTCAGTATCCAATAATTCTCACTGGCAAGCAAAACTTGTTATGTACGCAATGATAAAAAAAAAAAAATTTTTTCAAGAGCCATCTTGAAATGATATCATTGTTATTCCTCATTAATATTACAAAAGACTTGATTGTCTATGATTGTGCCTCTTCAATATCATTGGCTCACAACTATCACACTAGTCCCGCAGTTTCCTTTCTTGTAACAGAATCTTAGGGGCCAAGCGTTTTTTTATTTCTTTTCACCTTGATTATCTGGTCTATATCTAATAGTTTACTCAGCGAAAACCTATAATCCGTAATACAGCCGTTGTTTCTGTAAAACAAAGATTTTTTCTTGAAAATAAGCAACCAGCGACATATAACATAATTGTCACCGTCGCTTATTTAAGGGGCATTCGTTGTAGTCTACCTTTTATGCATGCCGGTATTTTTGCTTCGCAACAACAACAATAAGAGCAACAATAGGGTGACAAGTTGTTTAAGGAAAGTGAGAAACCTGTGTGGTACGCCTTGGTCGTCCAACAACCAGATAGACTAACCTTATGTAATTAATAATTTGATTTCACGTGATTCTCCGTTTTTTGTATTATCACATGGTGCTTATATTGCCGAAAGTAACTTATGTAACAACTTCCTAGGTGATCCATATTTGGGGCTGAGAATTGGCTGCAATTGTGATATCTTTGCATCTCCTTCTCCCTTTTGAGGTCAATTTTATATACTACACATAATTTCTTTTATGTACCATCCTACTATTTATATGCAAATGATTATTAGGGCAGTTTTCCGCCACCAATTAAATTATTTGATTTACTCGTGATAAATGCTGAGCCATTAACAGAAAAAATTTTTTTAATTTGTACCCGAATTTCTTTGTTGATTCAATTCAACTTCAAAAAAAAAAAAAAAAAAAAAAAATTTTTTTTTTTTTTTCTTTCCAATTAACAAACTTCATTTCCGGTCAAAAGTCAATCGAAATTTTTTCGCGTAGCTCTAGGATATTCCTTTAACTATACTGATCAACCCTCATTTCTTTGCCAAATCTGTGTCATCAAGTTGATTCCCGCAGCTTCCTCTGCACTTGTGCACTCTCCTATGTTTGACCCTGGTTAGCTTTTGTAAACTTTTTGTTCGAGCCTGCCGTTTGCTTTGTCGTTGCGTCTTACCTCCCGCTGCCTTGGTGCCATCTTTTCGTCTGTGGACACTAAACTGTTCACCTCACAAATACTTCGCTTGTAAAGCATTGTTTTCAGGTGAGTTATTGCGTTTCTTGAATTTGGTCGTGTCTTTCTTGGCAATTTCTTTCGAGTTTGAAGCTCAATGCTTTTTTTGTAGCGACTTTTATGTTGCCCCTAGACTGAAATCGGTTTGGAACAGAATCTTCAACTACACAGTAAGTACCGAGTAATCTATTCAAGGAACTTCTATGACAGTGTGTTTGTTGTTGTTTCATTAATTTTTTTGTAAACTCAGTTGGTCTTTCGCTTGTCTACAATCCTTCTTTTCAATTATGTGAACGAAAACTGCATTCTTTCAGAACAACAAGAACAATAATTTAAACGATATACCAACTAGACCTTATAAGTTAACACACGTAGAATTACTTTCAAAAGAAAAAAAAAAGAAAAAAGAAAAAAATAATAATCCTCATGCCAGCAATGCGAAGTCCCGGCATGGCGAATGGCCGTTCACCTATCAACCCTCCAACGCTTATAGAGCATAAGAACCTCCGTTTCTTGATCGCTGACGCTCCATCTGATAACAATTTGGCTCTATATATTCAAGTATGTTCACTTATTTCTCGAGCTTATTTCATCGTTACGAATACACTTGAAATCAACGGCTTACAAATTTCTTTCGCAGGAATTCGAACGATACAATGTGACTGACGTTGTTCGTGTGTGCGATCCAACTTACCGCGTTGAACCTCTTAAAGAACGTGGAATGAAAGTTCATGTAAATTTCATTTTTATTCTATCTGATTGAAAAATTAGTAACTTATGGCGTAAATAAATTTTTTCCTTCTGTTTAGGATTGGGTTTTCGGCGATGGCGAAGCTCCACCAACTCATATCGTTAATGAATGGCTTGACCTTGTTCAAGAGCGTTTTGGAGAATGCGTCGATGAAGAATTGAGACCAACTATCGCGTGTCATTGTGTAGCTGGACTTGGCCGGTATGTTATAGATATTGATTTCATTATTGAGACAAGACCTGATGATTGATCTGTTTTTCCTAGGGCACCGGTTCTAGTAGCTATTGCGTTGATCGAAACCGGCATGAGCGCGCTGGATGCAATCCTTTATATACGCGAGAGGCGGCGCGGCGCAATTAACAATAAGCAATTGAAGTATATCGAAAGTTATAAAAGAAGATCGAGGTCTCCAAGATGTGTGATTTCTTAGAGTCGTCTCACCTCGTCCTTCCAGAAATTTTGATTTTTTTCTTTTTTTTTTTAAAGTAATCGATGTTTATTATTTAAAATATGTGAATTAGAACGCCATTATCATGGCATTGTATTACAATTTTTTTTTTTTTTAATTGAAATGTTGCAAATTTTTTTGTCAATAAAGAAATTATCATTTTATCAGTGGCGTATCTATTTCACGCTCAAGAGTAAAGTCATGTGAATTATAACTAAAGCTGCCAATGATTGTTTAAATCAAGAAAAAGTAAATACGAATCATTTTTTTTTTATATACAAAATATGCGGCGCATTACATATAATTAACTAGTATACGCGCCGATCTTGACAGCAATTTTTAGTCTCGTGTACACAAATACCACATGGTCGAAAAGTGATCAAGTTTTAAAATTTGACAATTTGTAAGTCATTCTTTAAATAGTATCGTATATACAGTGTAACATGTCATACTCGTTTCGGGTACTGGTTAGGCATCTAGTATTAATCGGATCGTGAAGTTCAACGTCAAAAGCAATCGATTGATAAACAATTTTTAATTCTTTTTTCATTCTAAATATCCATGAATAAAAAATTATCTATTTTTGTTTTATTAATATATTATTGAAAAATAGACTGATACCTTTTGAAAAAAATCAATAAACTATCTAATTAAATATTAATGATAATATTTTAAATCAAGTCTCTAATATATATTTAAAAAACACCCTTCAATTTTTTTTATTTTTCTTAATTATTTACATTTGAAATTTTTTTTTAACCGTTATTCAAAATACCTTGCAAATCAAAAAAATGTATTGCCTTATATAAAACCAAAAAAATATTTTTTTATTTACAATAATTTTAAAGGTTTTTTAAGTTTAAAAGTTTTATTTATCCTTTATATGATATTTAATACTAAGAGATATTATAAATTAAAGATATTATTATTTTTTTGAGGGTCTTTTCCATAGATAAACATCATTTCTTTATTTGATATTGTATATAACAAGGTATACATTGTAAAAGAAATAACATTTCTTTCATTATTTCAAGAAAGTTAAATGCTAACTTGCCTACCTAACATTATCTAACTAATATTATAAAAAATTTCAAAAGCAATATTATAATACTAGATAAAACTGAATAGCAATTATGCCTACCAACTCAGAAAATTTTATAAAATCTTTTGATTTTTTGAATATATGAAAATTTATAAAAAATAAAAGTTTGTAACTAAAACTAAGTCAAATAAACTATAGAATCTATAAGTAGAAAACCAATTATTTTCTCAAAAAAGTCTTTGGACAGGTTTGTGATTCTATCTTTTCAGCTTTTTGATTATTATAAATAATAAAACATACATGAAGTTATTTGTTGTTATAGTTATTAGTAAATATGTGATTGATGTTGTTATTATAATTGTTGTTGCAATACAAATCTGGTTTAAACAAGTTCAATTTTTGTTTTGATTTTTGAGTGAAATCTGATTGAATGATTAAGAAATACTAATTATCTATAGAGAGTAAGCTGATTTCAGTTTTTTGGCCAAGAAAAAATATTGAAAAATTTAAGATAGTACAGTAAATATCATTATGGTAAAGTAATATTTATAAGTTGACTTGAAACAAACAATAAACTTATTAATTCTGTTTAAATATATATTTTGGAAAGTATTTGTTTTAGTAAGTATGATAATAATAATGTAAATGATTTTTATAATAAAATAAAAGTAAGGAGAGATACAAGAGAACAAAAGAATAGAAAACTGTCATAGGCCTTTCCTCATATAATTAAAAGATAAACAAAACTTTCAAACTTGAATAGATTTTGATCAAAAATCCCATTCTATTATATCAGTTGTCTTGAAAATTCTTGAGTTTCTGAACTGGGGCTCACTTGTAATAAAGAGAGTAAACTATTTTTTCTTGCTTAAAATTATTATAAAAAGAAATTTTTTAACAAAATGAATACAATCAAAAGAGAGTTTATAAATAAAAGATATTATAAATAAGATATGGTTTATTATTAATAAAGAAAACTTTATTAAGTTAAATAACTTTATTATTAAAAAAAAAAATACTCTTTTGATTCTGTTTACTTTATTAAAAAAATTTTTTATAATAATTTTTGTCAAAAAAAAATAATTTATACTTTTTATCACAAGTAAATTCTAGCTTAGAAATTCAAAAATCTTTAAAACAATTAATACAATAGAATAGAATCTCAAGTTTGAAAGTTTTGTTTATTCTTAAGCTATATGAAAAAAGATTTGTAGTTTTCATATATAAAAGTCTTATGAGATTATAAGTAATTTCAATTAGACAGTAAACTTAAAAAAAGATATTTATTGAACTTAAATAAAAAGTTAAGTTTATTCAAATCAATATATATATTTTTTATATATTTTGAATCAACACAAAAAGTACATATAAAAGAAAAAATAAAAATAGAAAAATAAAAAAGTAAATAATAGAACCTGATTATAACTAAGTTTTTTTTTTTTTAATCCCATAATCAGTTTGATGTTGTTTATTTATTAAATCATAAAAAACTATTACATGCACAAGAATACATACAAAATATAAATTTTCTCAATCCAACTCACTCGTCAATAGCCAAAGCCTCTAGATACGATTTATAGAGGTGATATATTGTTCCTTTAAAGGATGGGATTAAGATTCCAAACTTCCAATAGGATCAAAACTTGCAAATCATCTCCACAGTCATGACCATAAATCCAAATTGTGTTACCCTCTTCTTATAAGAACTATACAAAAGAAAAAAGAAATAAAAAAAGAATTTTTTGACAAAGAGAAAAGAAAAAAAAAAGTTATTATTTATTCTAGCTATCATTGAAAAGGTTATCTCAGTGCTTAAAACCCAAGCCCCTTATAGTTTTCCACTTCTTATTACCTGTGACCAGACAAACTGTTTAATTTCCATTGGAGTAATCAATGTTCAAGAACATTTAAGGGCACTTCCAGGAGAGTATTTCTTGAAACTTTACACTTGAAGACTTCTAACCAGAAAGGATATTGGTTTTTTATTGTTAATTGCTCTCCCAAGTCATGTCTTCTGGAATTATTACTTCACTTAACCAGTAAATAATTTCAAGATCCTTTTTTTTAACCATTTTCAGAATAAAGATTAGTACTTCAACTTGTTATCAAATTGGAATAGGATTTAGATCTTGTTATTACTTTCTGTCCTTAAGAAAGAATAGGGAAGAAAAAAAGAAAATAAAAGAATGTAAACAAAAAGAGGTTGCTTCTCTTCTACTCACAACTTCTACTTCACCTAATACTTCCATACTACTTCTTCAACCAAAAACTATTCAACTCTTTTAGAAACTAATCATATTATTGGTTTGATGTTACAGGACTGAAAACATATGAGGAGTACATGTCTTGTTTACTTTTTCTGAGGCTAATATAATCAATCAATTTGTGGTCTTAATCAATTATCTTTCAAGAGATCTGATGTAACCAAAAATTCAGGATCAAACTGAGGTAGGCAAAATTCTTCAGAAAAACTAGAAAAAAGGAAGCACACTTGAGAAAAAAGAAGAGGGAAGCCAAAGAGATAATAGAAAGACTGGAGACTTCTTTGTTCTTGTTTCTCTGGATTCTTGAATCTTTTGGAAATCATTGAAGGATATTTTTTCTTGTCAGTTTTCTTCCTAGAAAAGTGTTCTTGCTATAGACCTTTTAGATAGGTTTCTTGTATTTAGTTGTCAAAATAAACAAGAAAAGTGTTTTAAAAAGAAAAAATAAAACAAGTAATAGCTTCTGCTCACTCCGCTGGTTAAGGAACCAGTATTGTTAAAGAAAGTGTATAGACTTTATTATCATAAAGACAAAAAATATTTTGAGAACATCTGTTTTTGGGGTTGGCAAAAGAATCAATGAAAAGAGTTTTTTCTGACTATAACTAAGTTTATTTAAATATAATAATATTATTTTATAGTCATTTTATAGTCATTCTAAATTAGAAAATATATATAAATAACTATGAAAATATATTATCAGAAATTAATATTGTCATTTATATATGGCTAATCAGGATGCTCAGATTGATCTGAAAAATTCGAGTCATTCAAATAATCAGATTGTATGACATATAATTCAAAATTGTTCTATCTTGTATTTTTTCTTTTATTTATTATAATATAAAATTATTTATATTAATATTATTATATATGTTAAATATTTGTAGAGATGATTTACAGGTGTTGACTCTATTAAACAAATGGAATCTTAATTCTAATTAATGGACGAGCAATATTTTATCCTTATAAATCACATCTAAAGACTTTATATTACAGATGGGTGAGCTGGGTCAAGAAAATTTATATATACAATTTCTATTTATAATGGTTCATTTTGATTTAATAAATAAATAACATCAACCTGATTAAGGATAAAAAAAAAAAAAATTATTATTATATATATTAAATCAAATACTTTTCAAAAAATATACTCAAACAATATTATTGAATCTATTGTTTGTTTTAATACAATCTTTATATACAACTTCACTATAATAACATTTACTGTGTCATTTCTAAAATTTTAAAACTTTTTATTTAAAAAACCAAAATTACTTTATCTTTTTTAAATGATCATTATTCTTCAATCATCCAATCATATTTTGTCAAAATATCAAAACAAAAATTAAATCAGTTCAAAACAGTTTTTCAGTATAACAATAATAACAATAATTATTACAATAATAAACAACATCAATTATACTATCGCGTCCATTTTGCCAAAAATTTTTCTTTTATGGTAATTTTAAGCAAGAAAAAATGTTTAACACTCTTTACTGCAAGTGAGCTCCAGCTCAAGAACTCAAGAACCTTCAAGACAACTGGTGCAGTGGGATGGGACCTCTGGTCAAAATCTACTCAAGTTTGGAAGTCTTGCTTATTCTTCGGTTGCATGAGGAAAGGCCCGTGGCAGTTCTCTTCTCTTTTGTTCTTTTGTACCCCTCTTTCCTTTT